TTTTTTTTTTTTTTTTTTTTTTTTTTTAAGTTGTCTGCATTGCAAATTTGCAACTCTACACAACATTTGTTTCTCCACATTTTTTTTATTTTCTGCACACGGAGCGAAGGTGGTAGGAGGAAGAACAGGAAGAGGAAAAAGAGTGGGAGGAAGAGGTGGGGAGGGGAAACTGGTTTGAGGAAGGAAGGTGGAGGAGGAGAAGGAAAAAAGGAGGAAGAGGAGGAAGAGGAGGAAGATGAGGAAGAGGAGCAAGAGGAGCAAGAGGAGCAAGAGGAGCAAGAGGAGGGAGAAGAGGACGAGGAGGAAAACGAGAAAGAGAAGCAAGAGGAGAAAGAGGAGGAAGAAAGGGGATGGGAAATGGGTTTTGGAGGAGAAGGAAGGACAAAATGGGAAAGAGGAGGAGGAGGAGGGGGTGAGCAAAGGAAGAAATGAGATGGGTAGGAGACAGAGGTAGAGGAGGACGTGGACGGGGAAGAGAAGGGGAGGGGAAACGGGTTTATGGGAGGAATGAGGAGGAAGAGTAGGAGTGATCTGGATGAATGAGAGGGAGGAGGAGGAGCAGGAAGAGGAGGAAGAAGAGATGGAGAAGAACAAAAAAAATGCAGAAGAAAGAAGAAAGAAGAGCTTGAGGAAGAGAACCAGGACTACTCTCTCTGCCATCGGTGTTTAATCCACGGTATGCTGTGATCATATATCCTAACTGATTTGTAGCGTTCATGAAGGCAGTTGTTCTTTGACGCCAGAAGTCGCGGGTTCAAATCCCGTTTTTCGAGGAGCGAAGCGACACACACTAGGGTGTTTCTGAATAATGGTTGTTTACTTGTATGATCCCATGGGTGTGTAGTACTGTTTACTTGTATGATCCCACGGGTGTTTAGTACTGTTTACTATACAAGATTCCGTTAGAGTTGCGGCACTTGCGAGGTCTCCATGGATTTCCTAATTGCAGGAAGGAGGAAAGAAACTGCAAAAGAGAACCACAGATGGACGGGAGCCAAACATGGGTATGTTGGAAGAATAAATAAGGAAGAAGAGAGACTGACTGACTGACTGATTGGAGCTGTCTGGAATTTCATTGAATGTGGGCAAGGTGATGGCGATTGCTGACCGCGGTGCAGACATTTGTCGAATAACGGTGCAAGGGAAGAAAGAAGCGGATGCTTGTTTTGAGATCAAAGAGACTCTGCTCAAGCATGGGTACGTCGAATGAAGCGGTTGACGTAGTAAATGCTGGTATGACTAAAATAGTAAAGTAAAGTGATTAATGTTTTTGATGTCAATCATGTGTGTGTGTGTGTGTGTGTGTGTGTGTGTGTGTGTGTGTGTGTGTGTGTTTTAATCTTGGAAAAGCAAAATCCTTTTTATCCAAGTGATTAAATTAAATTATTAAATGAATGAAGTTCTAAATGGCGTGATGATATAAAAAAAATAAAAAAATTGGACTTATTTGACGGTGTGGCTGCTGTCGAAACCGGTAGCGGCTGCCATTGCCCACCGGTGATCCGCACTGTTCAAGCTTGCATGCGGTATATGTATGATTGCCAATAAATTGATTTCTTCAATTTCAATAAACTGATTTCTTTTAATTGAGTCGATCTTCTTATGGGTGTTTTCCGTTCACAATGCCTGAGGTAAAAGTTGTTCACTTCATTACTCTGCATAGCATAGTTTGTTTCCAAAATTCCTTTTTTTTTTTTTTTTTTTTTTTTGTGGGGGGGGGGGGCGGCAAGGACCTTGTCTGACCCTTTCCCCGAGCCGCCCGCTCGGGCGTCCCGGTTGGTAGCCCAGATATGATTTGAATTTTGAGCAAATTTGAAATTTCATCGAACTTCACTGAAGCGGTAATTTGGACGGTATCAGTGAGGTGAAAATTGACAATGATGATGGAGAGGGGGGAAAAAACTTAAAAAAAGAGATGATTAATCAGATTAAGTCCTGCTGTTAATTGACCAGGGTGTCTTTTATATGGAGTAATGCAGCTAATGCAAGGAATATGAGCGAGAGCGATAGACAGATAACCAAGTCGCGAAATCAGGAAGTAGTCCAGATAGTCATGCACCAAGCAGAGAGCACAATGCACCAAGATTCCATCCAAATAAGAGCAATACAATGAACTCGAGTGCCAATGCCGACGCTCCGTGGTCACACCAACGCTGTATCCAATGTCGCTCCTACTGTCTGGCGCGCAGCGCCCAGCCTACTCTACTCAGCATATCTATCCTGCCTACGTTCATGCGACTGGATCACATCGGAGTTCAAGACCAATGTACGTGACGTCAACACCAATGCCGACCACCAGCATCCACCTTGATCCTCTCTGCATGCGCCTCCTACCCTAAGACCACCATCGCCACCACCTGCTATCGCACGCTCGGCCCGGCTATGGCCGCCGTGCGCCCTCTGCCACTGCAGCGCCCTCTCGCCTCTTAGCGCCCGCGTGCACCCCAGCCTGCCTGCATAGCGCAGTATCGCATGACAATGCAGCAGCGTGGCCGCAATGCCTGCTCAGGCCAGAATGTCCTCCTCCTGGGACACACTTTCCTTTATGGAAAGTGTGCCCGCTGCTGGCTGGCCTGACCAGGGGTGTCGGGGGCCCAGCAGCTTGACTCTGGCCCCAAGTGTCTGCGCCCAGGCCCAGTTTCAGATACTGGCCTGGGCCTCGTGCAGTTAGGCACGTCCAGGCAGCCACCCAGCCTCCAAGTGTTTGCAGCATTCTCTTTGGCTTGCAACACATGTGTGACGACAATGCTGCTTTCTCATTGACCCGCGGCCGGTCCGTGATGTGTCGGCCTCATGCAGCGTGTGCCCAGGGCGCAACCACGTGAGCCCTGGGCTCAACTGTACAGCGCAGGCTTTGCTTCTGGAAAGAGCCTGGAGGCTCACGTTGCTCTGTAACCAACTGGCGTGCTGCATTTTTCTGAGTCCCCACATATGGAAAAATTGTCAAGAACAGGCCTCACGTGGATATTCAGGCCCGCCCACCTTCACTTAGGGCGGGCACAAGGCTTGCTGGGGGCCACAGCCCAGAACACTTGTATGTCTGATAAGGGCCCCGCGAGCCTCATTCCTCGCACTAATGCTTTTTTTTTTTTTTTTTTTTTTTTTAAGAAAACAGTTCAATATATTGAAAAATAGGTTTGAGGCTGAGGACCTCACAGTTCGACCCGGGTTTATCTTCGGAGCATTACCCCGTTTACCTTATGAGCCTTCAGCTATAGCAGCTGAGAGGGGCACAGAAGGCTAGAAATAGGGAGCATAGATGAATTGAGTAATGCTTTGTTTGCTGACTGTATTGATATTTCAGTTGAAGAAGGGTCATTGAGCAAGCAAGGCAAAGTCTCATTCAGTCCAGATCTGGCGAACACAGTTTTTAACAATCTACTCTTTGTCTACAACTTTTCTGATAGTGTTTTTTTTCCTTACTTTTTTCTGTTGTTGAGCTTGTTTTTTTCGCTTCTTGTGTTTGCATTACTTTGTAAACTTCGTCCGGAAAACTCCTGGAAAAGTTTCGTCTTTTCCCTTGGAATTTCCTACAGTCTTTAAATTAAAAATTATTAATTTGATGGAGGAAACTGTCCTTACGCCTTTGTGAAAATTGCAGCAGCTGGATCCTCCCGGTCAGTAGTAGTAGGGTCTTCAGCCAACACCGGTGTGAGTGTGAGTGTGAGTGCGAGTGCGAGTGGTTTGTGCGTGGTGTGTGGGAGAGTGTTCGCCTTAGACACGGCTGTTACTCAATGGAGGTGGGGGAAGATGAAAAGGGAGGCACAGCTACTGGCAGATGCTCGGTCCTTGTGTTAGCTGGGCCCTCACCGACCCAACCCTGTACCCTAAAACRCTAGGGCAAGGGGCAAACATGCAATGACCTCCTTCCGCCGAGAGAGGTAACGTCCCTTCGCCAAGAGAGGTAGATGGCTATGCTTGCAGGGGTCCCCTGTGTAGCCTTAGGAGTAGTGGTTGGCAGGTCGTGAAAGGTGGAAGAAGTTGAGAGAAGAATGAAAAGAAGAAAAAGAAAATGCAACCACAAAATCAATTATATCTGGTCTCTCTCTCTCTCTCTCTCTCTCTCTCTCTCTCTCTCTCTCTCTCTCTCTCTCTCTCTCTCTCTCTCTCTCTCTCTCTCTCTCTCTCTCTCTCTCTCTCTCTCTCTCTCTCTCTCTCTCTGTGTGTGTGTGTGTGTGTGTGTCTTATCTGTCTCTCCTCGTCAGCTGCTCTTTTGGTGATTGTTCTCTGTCTATTGTTTGCATTGACAGTTTCAACTTTCAATTGCCGAAATCCATGGTCAAGCTACCACTGATGTTTTTCCTCGTTCGGAACTCGGTTTGTGATTGCATATTATCAGATACGAGATCCCTTTGGTTGCTGATATTCACTTTGCGCCATCGGTGGCTATGAGAGTGGCGGAATGCTTTGACAAAATCCGCATAAACCCTGGAAACTTTGGTATGTCACATAACTTTTTGGCTTTACTCGTGTTGACATCATCTTCCTTCATCACCTTTCTCAGTCTCCTTCGTTTCCTCCTCTCCTCCTCCTCCTCCTCCTCCCTCCCCTTTCCCCTCCGTTCTCCTCTTTCTCAGCCTTCTCCACTTTCTTGTCTTTCTTCGTCTTTCTCCTCTTTCTTTGTTTTTCTCCTGTTTCTCCTCTTTGTCGTCTTTCTTTGGCTTTCCCCTCTTCCTCTGCTTTCACCCACATATGTCCTTCCTGTAGGCCTCATTCTCCTTCCTGTGGGCTTCATCTTCCCCACTACTCTTCTTTCCTTTTCTGTCTCCTGTTCCCTCATCATTTTTTTCTTCTTCTTTTTCTTTCATCAGTCTTTCTCATTTTCTCCCATTCCTCTCATTTCCTCAGTTTTGTGCAGTTCCAGTTCTTTTTTTTTTCCGCCTCTTTCTCCTGTTCCTGCCAGTGCTGGTCGTACCCCTGAAGTGTGCTTTCTCATATCCCTGTCGTCTGTTTGATCACCTCAAGCATCTTTTTGTATGTAGTTTTCTGTAGGGTGTTGAGCTGATGAGCTGTTGTTGTACCTCTGCACCATGAGACTGTGGTCTGTAGGGTGCCATGCAGAATGGCCCCCTTCCGCAAATGCTAAAGAGAGAGTGATTGATGGACGGTCGGTACGTAAATGGCTAGACACCGATTAACTCTTCTATCCATCCACCCCCCCTTGAGCACTCCACCATACAAAAGATGTATCCTACTATCCTCACACAAGTACGCATGGATTAACACACTGTCAGAGACTCTGTGTGTGTGTGTGTGTGTGTGGAGAGAGAGAGAGAGAGAGAGAGAGAGAGAGAGAGAGAGAGAGAGAGAGAGAGAGAGAGAGAGAGAGAGAGAG